TTACATTCACCTTCCGATTTCAAACGTTCTGGAGTTTAGAACGAAATAAAATAATAAGAGCGTCGAACAGGAAGCAAAGAGACCAGTACTGGGCTGAAAAACTTGCTGAAGTCAACATAGGTGTGTTTTCTAAAAAAACTGATTCTTTTTTTGCATTCTGCTTGTTTTACAGTGTTATAGCAGAAAGCGTAGCAGAAAGCGTGAATTGGCAGTTAAATCCTTTTACGCCACTTTTTTTCCAGCAAAAGATGCTCAGCGTTTTCGAAAGGATAAAACCTCGTCATTAGAGCTACAGAGCTCAAATGATAGAGAATATGGTGATCGGGAACCTATTATGGGAATAGATGACTCGGAATATTCATTTAGTTCTCATGAGTATTTTGGACAGACTCACAGAGATCTAAGTGCTCCTCTGCCATCTAACGTCTTTGATGATCTCTGAAAACTCGCGTCAGTGTTTTTCTTTCCGGGTGAAATAGTTTTCAATACTGGATATAACTGTAGTATGATTTTGCGGTAGACTTATTTATTCCCAAAGTGTTTGTATTTTTACTGGTTAATAATTTCTTTTGTATGAATTTGTTGTTCTGTCTGTTAATATTTTTTGGTGTTAATTTGGTAGCACAAGAAGCCAAAGACAGTTAAGGCATCACTCTTGTTTCATTCACGTATTTGTACTTGTGCTTTATTTATTTATTTTTGGAACCTTATATATTGATAGCTTGTGGCGCTCGATGTTATTACATGACCTGATTTTTTGAGTGCGACATTTCTTTGTATTTTTATGCTGGTTAAGTTTTTGGAAAAGTTTCGAGCCACCTCAGAAATTTCTTTTTATTCACGGCAGTTAGTTGTTGTGGTGGGTTTAAAAGGCGTTGACGAATAAGGTTTTTTTTTGATTTACTAGTTAATATTGTTCACCGTGTTACTTTGGATGATTATGTTGATGAGAGTTGGAACTTTTACTTTTGTTCAAGTTATGTTGATTGATTATTCTAATTGCTCTTCTTGCGTCCTTAATCGTCTAGTCAGTTTTTTTTCCTTTCTAAGTTAGCATTTTTTATATTAATTTTATCTTAGGCGGTCTTGATATTATTTAAGGTTGTGTATGGTGCTTCAGCAGGGGTTTTTTCCTGTTGTTTCAGGGTTGGAATTATTCCGGTTAATAAAGAGGAGGTTGGTCATTGTCCAGTTTATTTAGAATTACAGTCTTTGTCAAGATTATTAACTTTTTAATTTCCGGGTTTCTGGTTTTTCTAGTTTCAACCCTAGTACAACTGTTTTCGCCATCAAGTTTCAGTTCAAAACACTAAAAACATTATGGCGATCTGAATTTAGTGACACGATTGCTACTGGGAGGTAGACGTTAGTACTGATAACGTAGGCTGAATTTTTGCTTTGATTTCTGATGGTTCCTACAGTTGTTGTCTTGACATTGGGATATTAGCATTAATGACGAAGTGGTCACCCGCCAAAAAAACTTGTCGACAGTTTATAAGTATTTGTTTAGTTGATGAGTTTTTTCTCGGTACCCTTTGAAAATTTTGTTATCACGTATCCCCTCTGTTCAGAGAAGCACTCCACATAGTTAATTTTCCACGTTTAAGTAAAAATTCCGCTTGGATAAAGGCAAGCAGATCTACCAACTATTGTAAAAAACTTGATTATAGGTAGCTGTTACGATGTTTGCAGCAGTTGCCTTCTACCCGTCACTGACGTACAATATTATACGAAATTATTTACAACCTAAGAGATGGCCATGGTACAGTCGCATTGATGAGACCGTTCTTTTAGGAGCTTTGCCATTTCAAAGCATGACTAAAGAGTTTTTGAAAGAAAACGTCGGAGGTGTTGTTTGTTGTACAGAAGGTTTGTTCTGCTCGCGTGGTTTACTGAACTAGTGCTTAATTCGGTGGTCCTAACAATTTATTAAGTTTTTTGTATTACTAGAGTGTTTTAGACTATGAACTTCGTGCAGGTTGGAGAGTGATGCGTGAAAGTGATTGGACTAGCAGATCAATTGCTTTTCACAGGGTGCCCATGAAGGATTTTACGGGGACCACATCGGTGGCTAATATACATGGAGCAGTTGAGTTTATAAATAAAATCGGCAAAACTGGAAAATCAGTGTATGTTGTTGTATTGTCTATGAAAGGAGTTTCTGTATGATTTCCTAATGGGGTAGCAAGTGTAGACCCTCTTTCATAGTTTTTATAGAAAATGAAACTTCCAGATATGTTCATTGCAAAGCGGGTCGCAGTAGAAGCGCTATGATAGTTCTTTGTTACGTGATGCATAAGAAGGACTGGATGCCAAACGTCGCTTTTGATTACTTAACAATGAAGCGGTCGCAAGTTATTTTTAGAACAGAACACTGGAAAAGTATTAATGATTACAGACAATTTTTAGATTCTCATAAGCATTAAAATCAACCGTGTTATTATTAAATACTCAGTCTGTAGCAGCAGTGAATTTAGGTTCTGCATTTGTTAAGAATTCTCATATGTTAAAAAGTTCATAGAACCAGTCGTTTTTGTACCTTCTGCGTAACAACGTATTTTGATATGTAGTCAGGATTTTGCTTTTTTCTTTTTAAATTCTGTTGTAAAATTTGCTGTGTTGCGTTTGATATTAAGTTTAATTTTGAAACAAAATGGCTTTTCTGCAAATTAATTATGTTGAAAAATGAGACATAACGCGGTTTATTAAGATTTTTGTTTCAAGTTTATGAAGTCTCAACTAGCGATAGCTTATTTTGGTGAAATATTGTTTGACCTAGTTTTTAACTTGTAAAACAACTTTCCGGTTCCGCATAGTTTATAAAGCTTAGTCTAATTTCGAAATGGCATTGCAGCAGAGTACTTCTTTAATTTAAGTATTCTGTTATTCATATGAAATATGCTACGGGGAACGGTAACAGTTTTTAGGTTTTTTATAGATATTGCCTTTCGTCGCCTGTAAGAATAACGTTTTTCTTTTGTGTCGATCGATGTACCATCGTAATTTCTCTTTTTTTGATAACTGATGTTATTTTGCTTACCCTTTTTTATGTATATTCACTATTTTTTGTTTTTCCAACAAGTTGGTATTGTTTGCTCTCGGTTTACTTCCATCTAAGTCTTTTATTGGCATAAGTTGGTTCGATAAATTTTTACTACGGAAGATTTTCTCTTATTTTTTTTAGATGAATAAGCTGATTACATTTGAAATAAATATAGGTCTAAAGTATTACTTGTAACTAAAGGTTGTAATTTTTTGCTGAAACAGTATGATTCGCTATGTTAAAAACTTAGATCAATGGCAAATTATTTGATTTGGTATAATTTTTATTTGTAAGTTTCAAGTAATTTCAATAACTTGTTTCAATTTTGCCTTCAAGCCTTGTCTTAAGGGTCCTATTTGGCTGTGGTTGTTTGTTTTCAAAAATGATTTATTAGGTTCATATGGTTATAATACTCTCACAATTTATTTTGAGCTATTAGTATTTTGGAGCGCTATGAAACAACAGTCCAGTGATGGCTACTGGTCTTTTCACCAGTAACTTCATTTTTCTAAATTCTTTGTTCCTCGTCTATGGGAAGCAGCTAAAAAGTTTGCTGAAGACTATTCCGATTGACAGCTGATAAGAGGACGACTTCATATAATACACTCAGACCAGCTTGTTGGAAGTAACTTTAAAAAGGAACTTTACTCTTTTAGCTTTTTTTGTTTTTTCTACTGCTATTCTAAACTTGAGTCTTCTTCATAAGCAGTCAAAAAACGATTTCGAAGTGGTGCGGGAATGTTAAGTTTTTTGAACTGACTGACGGAAAACTGGTCACTTTGCCGCGAAACTTTACGAACATTTAGTCATATACCACTGTTTGGTCAAAAAGTGGGTAAGATATCTTTATAGTGCTGGGAAGAATGTTGAGGACAACTTTTTAGGAGAGAGGCCGACGTTAGTAAGAAATGATAACGTCGTAGCTTATGCATTTAAACAAATGAAATCACATTGCTGAGTTACCAACAATGTTGAATAATAAATTGGTCTTGAGCACACCTTCTGCTAATTGGAGTGTAAAAATTGACTTCAGTGTCTCGTCTCATTTTAACCTCGCGACAGAGATCAAGACAGATAATGACGTTCCAGATTATTTATCACTGTAAATAGTTTTTAAGAATATCAATGTAAGCGGGCATTAACTTCCTGAACACCGATTATTGAGGATTTTGGAAGAAGCAATCAAGCTGAACGAACGGAAATTGGCGAGAAAGTTTTTATGTGGTTAAGTTTTTCTTGGAAATTTTCTAGGTAACTTCTCACAATAACAAAAAAAAAGCGTTTACTATAGCATATTATGGATCAGTCTCGCTTAAAATTATTACCTTTTGTCTTGGTAATTCTGCAAGTAGTTTGGCAGAAGTTGAAGGACCCCTGTCCTGCAAATTTTGCTGGAAATTTTCTGCATCTTTTAAAAAATTTCTTATCTTGCCACATCAGACTTTCTTCTTTTCAAATACTGAAAAGCAACTGGCAAAAATTTATTCCATGAGTGAAACAAAATAGAAAAACAGGAGAAGCCGCGGTGGAAAAGCTTTAATTTGCGTTAAAGGATTGCGATAAAAACGAACGCCAAAGTGGGTAGATACAACTAAATGGTTTGTACGGAAGGCAATAGCCAGAATTTAGTATACAAAGTTTTCTTTACATTTTTTAAACAAATTTTACAAATGTATCTTGTATTTGAGTTGGATTACGAAAGAAAATATGAATAATTTCTTGGTGATGAAATATGAAGTTATGTTTATAATTCTCAAATTTTTGTAATTTGCTTGCTTTTTTCTTGAATATTATGTAGCATTAAAGTATTAGTTTATTAAAAAGCTTACATTTGTATTTCATATTCGGTATTGGTGTTGTTGGACTGTTTAATTGTCTCGGTTTAAAATGGTGTCATATTTCAGCTCTTGAATTTTGTTCAATTTCGTTCTTGTTCAACTGGAGCAGACCGACTCAATTCTGCAAAACTGTTATCAAATCTGGCTTTTATTTGTTATTTTGCAGTTTTTTTATATTTTATGAACTTTTTGTGTTGGTAAACTGCTTCAAAAGCATGTTTCGGTGCTGGACACATGTTTTGAGTTGTGGAGAGATTTTATTGACATCTAGAGACTCGGAAAACCAGAAAACCAGTTCCATATCTATTCTCTATCAGATAAACTACAATGAATTTTAGGAAAAAAAGCATTGAACACTTAATTTTTGGGTAGTCAAATGTTATTTTTTCCCTCATATCTTATCACACCTACTTTCAACACTCATTGCATAACAGAGCCTTATAATTTACATATATTTATATATTTATATATTTATTGTGGTGGACGATGATTTAGTGTTGGGGAGGATTGTTGAGTGCAACATTTTTAATGGAAATTTTCAAGATAATAGATATTTGGTGATGGTGTTTAAGTGCTTTGTTTCCCAATATCTTTCAAGCTTTTTGTCCACACAACACTAGAATTGGTTTGGATTGATTTCTATGTGCCAACACTGTTGGCTTTTTATTCATATATCTGTTAATTAAATGAAAGAACAATCGGTGTGTGTACCGTATTTTTTTTGCTGTTTATATATGTTTTTTTAAGACTGTAATTTCATTGTTTGTGCAGCTAATGAAGTTATAAAGTTTTTTGTGCCTCCTTTCTTGTAAATCTTTTTCAACAAAAGTTGCTGCTGGATCTATACTTTGGTACTAGAAAAGGAAAAAAAATTTTATTTTACCTTTTGTTTCTTTTTCATTCTCTTCTCACCATGGCTTATCAAAACACTGATTGCTATTATTTGTAGTGGTCCTTAACGGTATTGTTAATTTTGTACACTTGGATAATATTGAAAGTAAACTATCAGAGAGAAAAAAATGAGGGAATTTTGGAAAAAGAGATGCTCATTTTAGTCTGCAGCCACATCAGTTTTTGTTTTTTCTTTCTTTTTATTTTTCTTTCTCGTTTCTTCTCCTCCGCTAAATTTTACTGTTCTTGATTTTAAAGATTGACAATTGTTTGATATGCTGTGGATAAAGAGGAAATTGAATTTCTTTTGTATAGGATAAACATACGTCATGATTATAACAGAAAATCTTTTTTTTTTTATGTATGATAAATTTTTTCTTCTTTTTTAAATTGGCGCAGCTTTGTAATCTCGTCAGTCTTGTAATCTGTTTGTATTCAGGTGAGGTAAAACGAGTGAAGGAACAAAAACGATCATGTTGTTCAGTGTTTAACATCAGTTTCGCAACTGAATGCTGTTGCTGTTGCTGTTGTCGTAGCCGTCTTCTTTTTTTCTCCTTCTTCCCCCTTAACCCCGTCTTCAAAGAAGATTTGGAAGCTTTTTTGGAATGCTGTTGCTTTTCTTATAACAATCGACTTTTCTTTTGAAACCAATCTTAAGAAGTTATTTTCTTTTATCTTAACTGCTTTGCTTTTATATGTTCTTTTTAGACAGCAGTGGAAGGGAGGAGGAGAGTCGAAGGGAAGATTGGCTAGTAGGATGGAAAGAGGGTGGACCTAAGTTATATTTCAGCTGCTGTTTGGGTAATAGTCTGTTTGGCTCCTTTTTATTTTTGGTCTGGAATTGTTGAAATACAGTACACGTTAAGGCGAAAGAAACATTCATTATTACACTAGTCATTTCAAAAAGAAAAACTGTTGTATTGTCTTAATGAGGGGAAAGTTCAACGTTAAGGTAATGTATTTTAGAGCTATGGTGAAATTCATTCAGATAACAGCCCAACGACGGCCAAAAAAATGAGGGCCAAAAAACGGTGGTACTTGATGGACGATGTTGTCGATGTGTTGTTTTGTGGCAGCGGTTAAGAACACTAATGCTTCTTGTTCTGATCTTTCTATATTTAGTTTTTGCTTTTATTTTCCTTTCCTTTTTTGACCGCATGTTTTGTGTGTGTATTTGCTTCCTCTTTTTATTATAGTCCAAAAATGAGCATCTTTAAAGGCATTTCCCGATATTTTTTATTGAGGTTTTTTCTGTTTTTAGATGGTTTTCC